AGTTTGAAACAGCGCTTTGAGAATGAATAATGAGAGAAGCTTGAAAGTTTTTCTCGGGTTTGGAAACAGTGCAAGTATGGGTCAGGTAGGCGAAAAGTTTAAAATAATAACAAACCGTTTCATAAAACGACACTATTAATAGTAAGCGCCCTAGTATGGAACATTATACGGCGCTATAGGTTCACACCGCCCTATAATATTACTTTACACGACGCAAGGTTTTAATGAACCGCCGTTTTTATATCGAATTACACGACGCATTTTTCTTCAGAAAGATGAATCACGTCATTTCCAATTTACCCAACGACCTTATACTCAATAATAACGACATTAAAAATATACACCACGTCGTTTTAATTACTCATACCGACGTGTAACTTTTTTAATTACACAATAAATTAGTTTTCCAAAAAATTACAACGTCGTTTTTATATAGGGTCGTTGGTAATTAATTTATACGACCTTATTTTAGTTTTCAACGACGTTTATGTTTTCATATAAACGTCGATAATGTAAAAAAACTGACGTGGTATATAAGATTTGTTTATAAATAAGGGGTTTTCTCTCTTTCTGTCGTCTTCATTTTTCAATTAAGGTTTCAACTTTTTCTCACCTCTCTGGAGGCACATCACCTCTCTGTCTCACCTCGCTTTCATTTTTCAGTTTGAATTTTGATGTGTGTGCACACATCATCTAAAAAATTGTCTTTCTGCACAGAAGGAGAACAAGGTCTGCATCAGCCCTCTTTCTCAGCTCCTTCATGATGGGGTTCTCTGGGTTGATCTCCATGGTCTTCTTGCTCGACATGTACCCAGCCGCTCTGTTATCCCTCAAGGCCTGAGCCTTCATGATTCTTTCCATGTTGGCAGTCCATCCATAGTCGCCTGTCACCAAACAGCAGGGAGAGTCTACCACACGGTCAGACACCACAACCTTCTCAACTCTGTCACCCAAAACATCCTTCACAACCTTGTAGAGCCCCTCAAACTTCTCCTTCAACTCTTCCTTCTTCTTTGCCTCGTCTTCACCCTCATCAAGTTTGAGACCTTCCTTGGTGGCTGAGACAAGCTTCTTGCCCTCAAACTCCTTATGAGAGTAATTGGCACACCATCCACTCCTAAAACATTGCCTTTGTTCATTCTGGTTCGATTATGATGAGGAACAATGGTAAAAAACGAATAATGGTTCGATTATGATGAGGAACAGAGTTCATTCTGGTAATGATAGACGAATAATGGTAAAAAATTTGTACGTCGTTAATTTAACAAACCGTCGTGGTTAGTACAATTATGCGACACTAGAGTTATGGATACCGTCGTAGTATAGTATAATTAAAAAGTTGATAAATTTATATTTACAGTCGTGGTAACTTAATTTAAATCGGCGAATTTTTTTGTAATTGACTGTCATAGATTCCTTTGAATTTATGCGTCGCTGACTAAGAAAATTAGGTTGTGTTTATTAATTTGTTAACACAGCGTCTTATTTTTTTATCGTCGTCCTTACTTTCTACGGCAGTGATTTCATAGATGCAGTCGTTGTTTTTAGGTTCAGATTTTAACTCTGAAAAATACCTTTGTAATAAGACGACGCATTTATAATTTGGTGCGTCGTTGTTAAAAATATCTATACGTGTACCGGTTTTTTAGGTGTTTAAAGTATGTTTCTACGACGGGTTTCTATTACCGTCGTCTTTTAATAAACAACAACGGTTTTTTCATCTACCGTCGTTGTTTACTGGTCGTCTTTTGCCCTTTTTGTAGTAGTGAATTTGGCAACATCATAATATGGTGGGAGGAGTCATTTGGTGAATTTTGAAGGAAATCCGATCCCTAAAACTATGGAATACACCAACCACTCCGATAAGGAACGGACTGCCTTTGAACTTGAATTGTCCAATTTCTTACACCTATTAATTTCGGATCAAGCCCAAAACTTGGGCAACATCTTAATACGGTGGGAGGAGTCATTTGGTGAATTTTGAGGGAAATCCGATCTCCAGAACTATGGAATACACCAACCACTCCGATTCGGAACGAACTGCCTTTGAACATGAATTGTCCAATTTCTTACACCTATCGATTTCGGATCGAGCCCAAAACTTGGGCAATATCTTAATATGGTGGGAGGAGCCATTTGGTTAATTTTGAGTGAAATCCGATCTCTAGAACTATGGAATACACCAACTACTCCGATTGGGAACGAACTGCCTTTGAACTTGAATTGTCCACTTTCTTACACCTATTGATTTCGGATCGAGCCCAAAACTTGGGCAACATCTTAATATAGTGGGAGGTGTCATTTGGTTAATTTTGAGTGAAATCCGATCTCTAGAACTACCCAATACACCAACCTATCCAATTAGGAACGAACTGCCTTTAAACTTGAATTGTCCAATTTCTTACACCTATTGATTTCGGATCGAGCCCAAAACTTTGGTAACATCATAATACTGTGGGAGGAGTCATTTGGTGAATTTCGAGGGAAATCCGATCTCTAGAACTATGGAATACACCAACCACTCCGATTAGGAACGAACTTCCTTCGAACTTGAATTGTCCAATTTCTTACACCTATTGTTTTCGGATCGAGCCCAAAACTTGGGCAACATCGTAATATGGTGGGAGGAGTCATTTGGTTAATTTTTAGTGAAATCCGATCCCTAGAACTACCCAATACACCAAGCAGTCCAATTAGGAACGAACTGCCTTTTAACTTGAATTGTCCAATTTCTTACACCTATTGATTTCGGATCGAGCCCAAAACTTTGGCAACATCATAATACTGTGGGAGGAGTCATTTGGTGAATTTCGAGGGAAATCCGATCTCTAGAACTATGGAATACACCAACCACTCCGATTAGGAACGAACTTCCTTCGAACTTGAATTGTCCAATTTCTTACACCTATCGATTTCGGATCGAGCCCAAAACTTGGGCAACATCTTAATATAGTGGGAGGTGTCATTTGGTGAATTTTGAGGGAAATCCGATCTCTAGAACTAAGGAATACACCAACCACTCTGGTTAGGAACGAATTGCCTTCGAACTTGAATTATCAAATTTCTTACAACAATTGATTTCGGATCGAGCCCAAAAGTTGGGCAACATCATAATATGGTGGGAGGAGTCATTTCGTTAATTTTGAGTGAAATCCGATCTCTAGAACTACCCAATACCCCAACCAATCCAATTGGGATCGAACTGCCTTTGAACTTGAATTGTCCAATTTCTTACACCTATCGATTTCGGATCGAGCCCAAAACTTGGGCAATATCTTAATATGGTGGGAGGAGCCATTTGGTTAATTTTGGGGGAAATCCGATCTCTAGAACAATGGAATACACCAACCACAACGGTTAGGAACGAACTGCCTTTGAACTTGAATTGTACAATTTCTTACACCTACTGATTTCGGATCGAGCCCAAAACTTAGGCAACATCATAATATGGTGGGAGGAGTCATTTCGTTAATTTTGAGTGAAATCCGATCTCTAGAACTACCCAATACACCAACCAATCCAATTGGGATCGAACTGCCTTTGAACTTGAATTGTCCAATTTCTTACACCTATTGATTTCGGATCGAGCCCAAAACTTGGGCAACATCATAATATGGTGGGAGGAGTCATTTGGTGAATTTTATGGGAAATCCGATCTCTAGAACTATGGAATACACCAACCACAACGATTAGAAACGAACTGCCTTTGAACATGAATTGTCCAATTTCTTACACCTACTGATTTCGGATCGAGCCTAAAACTTGGGCAACATCTTAATATGGTGGGAGGAGTCATTTGGTGAATTTTGAGCGAAATCCGATCTCTAGAACTATGGAATACCCCAACCACTCCGATTAGGAACGAACTGCCTTTGAACTTGAACTGTCCAATTTCTTACACCTATTGATTTCGGATCGAGCCCAAAACTTGAACAACATCCTAATATGGTGGGAGGTGTCATTTGGTGAATTTTGAGGGTAGTCCGATCCCTAGAACTGTGGAATACACCAAGCACTCCGATTCGGAACGAACTGCCTTTGAACTTGAATTGTCCAATTTCTTACACCTATTGATTTCGGATCAAGCCCAAAACTTGGGCAACTTCATAATATGGTTTGAAAAGTCATTTGGTGAATTTTGAGTGAAATCCGATCCCTAGAACTATGCAAAACACCAACCACTCCGAATAGGAACGAACTGCCTTTGAACTTGAATTGTCCAATTTCTTACACCTATTGATTTCAGATCGAGCCCAAAACTTGTGCAACATCTTAATATGGTGGGAGTGGTCATTTGGTTAATTTTGAGTGTAATCCGATCTCTAGATCTACCCAATACACCAACCAATCCAATTAGGAACGAACTGCCTTTGAACTTGAATTGTCCAATTTCTTACACCTATTGATTTCGGATCGAGCCCAAAACTTGGGCAACATCTTAATATGGTGGGAGGAGTCATTTGGAGAATTTTAAGTGATATCTGATATCTAGAACTACGGAATACACCAACCACTCCGATTAGGAACGAACTGCCTTTGAATGTGAATTGTCCAATTTCTTACACCTATTGATTTCGGATCGAGCCCAAAACTTGGGCAACATCATAATGTAGTGGGAGGAGTCATTTGTTGAATTTTGAGTGAAATCCGATCTCAAGAACTATGGAATACACCAACCACTCCGATTAGGAACGAACTGCTTTTGAACTTGAATTCTCCAATTTCTTGCACCTTTTGATTTCGGATCGAGCCCAAAACTTGGGCAACATCATAATATGATGGGAGGAGTCATTTGGTGAATTTTGGGGGAAACCCGATCTATAGAATGGATTAAGCTGCACCAAAATGGATTAAGCTGCATCCTCAACTTGTGATACTCGCAAGTGCACGAGCCGTTCGGTTGTATAGCGTATGTAAGTGCGAGGTCGATCCCACGAGGATTGGTGATTGAATGATTCAATTCATTTTCCCTACACAAAACAAAAACAAAAACAAAGAACATGAAAGAAGGAAGAAAATAAGAAAGTAACTCAAGCAAATAAGTTCCCAAGTTCAATTTAGATTAATGGATTGATTCTAGCTAAAGTATGATTAAGCCATGGTGTGTGGTCATAACCTTGTGTTCCTAATTCCCTAATTTGATCATTTGTTGTCTAACCTAAAATTAAGCATTAGGAACCCATTAAGCATAGAAGAACA